AAATGTTACTGACTGCAGGTCCAATAAAAATTTGAATTATTGATATATTATGGAATAAATGTTTAAATCATTGATATATTATGGTCAGAACAACATCAATTTTAATATATATCTATATATGGAATAAATACTTAAATAATAGATATATTCTGGAATAAATACTTAAATAATAGGTACATTCTGGAATAAATATCCAAATCATTGATATATTAGGGAATAAATATTAAAATTATTGATAAATTATGAAATAAATATTAAAATCATTGATATATTATGGAATAAATATTTAAATTATTAATATATTATGGAATAAATATTCAAATCATTGATACATTATGAAATAAATATTTAAATTATTGATAAATTATGAAATAATTATTCAAATCATTGATATATTATGGAATAAATATTTAAATCAGTGATATATAGACAGAACAGTCATCTGCAAAATAATTATTGATATATAGACAGACAGATCTGCAAAATATATCCCAATAATTAAAACATGTTCTCTACCTGTTATCTCTTGAAAGGAAGGATCCGTTATTTTCAAATAACCCTTAGGGCATCAACGGGTTAAATTCCTGTAGATAATTTAAATCTTTCATAACCGAATAAACCTTAGTTCTCAAATTTTTTACCTCGATATCTCTTCTTATAGTTAATTTTGAGGTTCCACATCTCCTTGTTGCGTAATAAATACGCTTGTAATATTTAAGGAAAAAATAAAGCATCTTTTGTTATTTAAACAAAGAAATATAGAATTTTCTCTCAAAATGCCTGGGAGCTTGTGAAAAAAGCTTTTTTTTTTCAAAGCTCAAGAAAATTACATCGCTTTTTATTTAAATGTTGATAGCGTCCGTCGGCGGTATTAGGCTTAACTTTAGTTAGATGTGTTTACATTTTTCTTTTATATTTTAAAATTGAATTTAAGAAATATTCTGTAGCCGGGAGGTACTTAATTTTGTTTTCAGTCGAATTTTTTTTTCTTTAAGGTATATGGAGTGCAATGAAAGGGAAAGGTAATTTTCGTTTTATTTTATTTGAATAACACACATTTATATATTTATTTGTTGCTCTTAAACTAATTTTTAATGATGAACATAATAGATTTTTCATGCTTACTTTTAACGTACTTTAATCCTTTTATATTAATAGAAAACTAAACAAAGATAATTGGTTATAACTTAAATACTTTTCGATAAATTATATTAACAATGTAGAAATATCTCATATTCTGTTCTTAGTAAATGATTATAACCTATGACAGAATTACAGAGTTTGAATAGAAATAAACTGATTGAAGAAAAATAAAGCAAAAACATTAAGTTTCGAATTGTTGTAACACAAAGTCACAACTTTAGTGAAACGTTTCGAATAAAGTCACAACTTTGGCTAAAAGAGAAACCTAGAAAAATTTGTTGCAATAACGTCACTATGAAGCGTCATCTATACTAGTTCATCAGTTCCTCCAATGCTAGGACAGAACCCCTTTGCAAATTTCATCAGGAGTCTTTTTAAATGTTACAAAATGTTACGGAGAAAGTGTTA